GAAATATGTCACGTGATTTATTAATGCTAGTAAAAATATAATCAAATCATTCATATTAAAACACATTCAATGACTCAAAATGTATGAAATGAACTTACCGAGTAGTATGCTCTGAGCCCTCGATAACAGGACGTAATTTTAAACAACAAAGAAATACAAATTTATTGAATTATGTCCAAATTATACTAATCACTAAGAAAAATATGTCACTTAAATTTTGTGTGTGTGTGTGTGTGTGTGTGTGTATACACACACATACACATAAATACATTTATACCTAAATTTAAAAGTGAAGAACCGTATAAAAAAACATATGTTTGCATTATTATATATATATATATACACACATATGATAGTAATAAAGAAACTTATGCACAAAATTCATGAAAAAATATGAAATATTGTTTGAATTGTGAATATTGAATAAATATATATGTAGAAGCAATAATAGATTTAAACGTTTAGTGTGTATAGTACTTGTTTATATAATAAGTAATATAGAATATGAATTAAAAAGAATATCATTAAGAGAAGTCACATCAAGTAAACAAAATTGGTATACCCTTAACTCACCACCGTAACTGTAATATACACTTTTTAAATAAACATTTATATGTATATGCGTAATGTAAAATGGTATTTTCAAAAAATAAATAGATCTCTTTTTCTCAACAATTAAATTCAACTTCTCAGTATTTGTATATATAGTTTTTTTTAAATTCTCAATTGAAGGAATCAAGAACAATCACGTATAATCATTTACATATGCATATGTCTCAATATGAAAGATTTTTTTTTTCAAGAATAGGACGAATTACAATTCTAATTGTCAAAGTTTTCTAACAAGTTCAAGATTTCTTTAGTATAAGAATGTAATATTAATTATTTTATTATTCTCTTTATCCACTATAAATGAATTTTATAATTCAAAAATGCGTCATTGATTGATAATAAATGTTAAATGTCTTCATTATCACTTAATGAGCTCATGATAAAACGACGATTCAAAAGATCTTCCTCCGTACTATCGCTCGGACATAACGAATTCTCCGTATACGATAAATTGTTAGTTAGTGGTCCGGAACCGAATCTGTTGACCACGAGACCAATTGCGGTCTGTCCGATAATCGGTATGCCACCCGTGCCTAATATACGCGCCGGCAGAATATTTTTCGTTATTGGATATTTTAAGCTGTGCTCGGTACATCTCAAATTGTTATATTTAAGCATATGCGGGGATTGCGAAAGCCGTAATGGATCTTCGGAATAGCATTGGGGAAACTTTTGCAGATCGGTATAACCGTTCTTCTCACTTATTTTATAACGTAAGGGATCCTCGGAATATCGTTGAGGATACTTTTGAAGATCAATGCCATATTTCTGTTCCCCTATGCACTGGTCATATATAAGATTATTATCCGAGCACCTATGATATTCCTCTTTACATCTATGAGGATACTTGTGCAAACCATCCTCGCATCTACACGGATATTTTTGAAAGTCTGGATTTAATCGGTCTACTTCGGTATATTTAATATGTTTCACAGAATCCTGAGAGCAATGTTGTGCCGGGTATGGCGGCACGTAAGTATCGTTTATGTATTGGCGCGGATATTTTGGTAAATCCTCGGGACAACGTGTAGGATGTCTCAAGAGGGTCAACTCACCGTTTATTGACTCTATTCTTGGAGAATGTTGACCACTGATCAAATTATTCATCGAGCCCGTAAGATCCGTACTGGGACTCGTTTGAACCGTCGTACCGTTTGACTGTCAAAATGAATAATAAAAATAACAATGTAAAATGTATACATTATTGTACATCTCTTACTATATTTAACTGTGTTATCAAAATAGATTAGTAAACACATTATACATAATTACCTGAGGCTGCACAATTTTGGCAGTACCATACGTTTTGTTATTAGTAATTACATTATCATCACCAACTCGTTCATGTTCTGCACGATATTCAGGTGTGACTATCCCTCTTCGATCTGAAACGATATGATCCGAAAATGAATTCAATACACAATTAATGGATGACAATAGTTATATCCTTCGATGACTTGCATGACTTGCATATTTGCATAGATGAATATTATAACAGGTTGTACGAGAAAGATGTTACCGATTAAACTAGGTGGGGCCGGTCCACATAACACATAAAAAAAATTTCCACAAATGTTTCCTTGACTATAAGGATTAAAATTATCCTGCCCTCTTCTATTCGTGAACGATCCTTTAATCTAAAAAGTGATAATAACGATTAAAGAAAATTTTTGACATAATTTATACATGATTTTGTGTGTGTGTGTGTGTGTGTGTGTGTGTATCACACACTTACATCTTCGTTAGTCGTTTGATTGCTACTAGTTAAATACGTATGAAAACCAGCGAGGCCTAAGATACTCCAAACAGAAAAGAAACATACGACTCCTACAATTACACTGCTCGGGGATAATTTTACAGCTTCTAAAAACGGCTTGTTATCTTTTGTAACTAAAATCACAATAAACATATACGAAATGTTGATTTCATCATAATCAAAATCGCGTTTATTGATTTATTATCCAGAAATTAATATACTTACGCATAATAATATGCGTGACTGCACATACAAATATAAAAACACAAAGAAATGCGAGGGATACTATAAAAGCATAAAAATATCTATAATTTCTTCTGCCCACGCAATTACCAACCCATGGACAGTGATGATCGAATCTCTCTGTAAGAATAGTTATATTTTTCAAATTTCTTTTGCTTAATATCCGTGATTAAAGTAATATCTTATTCGAAATTAATACTGACGAGTATATCTGACAATACGAAAGAGAAAGAAAACAAGTATATAAAACTTTGATAAAACAACAGATACATACCTACACAATTGTCACATAAACTACAATGAGAGGCTCTAGGTGGCCTAAATATCTTGCATGTAAAGCAATATTTCAGTTTTACTGGTTGTCCTCTAATCAAGACTTCTTTCGTCCTGGGAGGAGGTCTGTATGTTTTAGAGTTGCCATTGTTCGGTACTTCTACAATTTATTACGAAAAATGTTTTGAGACTCAGCATTTTTCAAATATTATAATAAATATTTATTTATTATGTCTAAATGGAAATATTATTAGTTTTTTAAAATAAGTAAATTAAACCATGTAATTACTATAAGTATTCTAATTATATAATATTTGTACCAATTTGTTTTTCAATGTAAGCTGCTTCATCAGGTGTCGCTCTTGGAATTACTCCAGGATCGCTGAAGCTTGTACGGAACAAAGCAGACATTACAAATATAAATAATAAAGCTCCTATTACTGGTATTGCTGGTGTAACATGTAGTGCCAGATATGGACAACTGGAAAAAAAGAAAACTATTGTCCAAAAATTTCATTTGGTATATATATATAAAAGCATACTAATTTTCCTATTGACTGATTAAGAACAGCATTTACAGTCCGATCTTCAATATACATCTTGTATATCAAGATGCTGAATAATTATTGTTTCATTTAGATGCAGTTTTAACATCAAATGTACAATCTTAAATATAAGATTAAACTATGAATACCATCTTAATTGCATCCAATGTATCTTTGATTAGAAGAATACACAAGTTGCTTATATTCCTAATTCTATCTTTAGAGATTTATTCTTAATATCACATATAATTTAACACAATGTAGATAATACTTATTCAGAAGATCAGAGAATAATCCATTTGACGAGGAATACAAAGTATTAATAGATTAAGGATAATATTTGTAATCCAATCTTGTATTTAAAATCATCGAGTATGATCTTGCGATGCAATAATTTTGTTTTAATAGCCGGAATCTTAAAATCATCCAAGAACCAAGATCAGATTTAAGGTCAGTATTCATAGTTGATTCTTATATTCAAAATCATCTTAAGTACAGTCTTAAGATATCACAAATGATATTTAAGACAAACTACATATATCCTAGTCCTAAAATGATTTTGAATATAAGATCAGATCCCATAAATAGAGTAAAATAATATAATTTTCAACATGATGAAGTCTGAATAAAATAAGAATTGAAATTGTTAAATTTTTATTAAAATTTGGTTAGGTATTTCCCCTTTGTTTTTGTGATACTTTTACATTCTTCATACAATGAGAATAAGATTACTAAATTTGAACTTGGAATTAGAATTCGAATCATATTTTGTTCAGAATTGTATTATATGAGATCTTATCTTATCATTTTAGTCTCACAAATCAATCAAATATCCAATACTTTTCATACATAAAAGATATATAAATTGCTGTAACAGCTCTAAATGTGTCTAAACTCTGAGGTTTATCCTTGATGACAAATGTAATCAAATTATGAATCAAACAACAATTCATTTGTTCTGATGATGAGATATACAATATGTTAATAGATTAAAGATAGTATTCTTTAATTTTATACTGAAAATTGAGACACTGTACATTTGTTTTATCGGTTAGATGGAATCTCAAGATTATACTGTAGGACGTATCTTAAATAAATCAGAATGCAATGAATATCAACCTAATCTGAGAAAAAATCCAATTGTTATATACTGAGATGAATAGTCTTGGAGGTAAATGTACTAAAATGCATTGCTTACTCAAAACCAAAAAACAATCCACTTGTTCCAACGATGAGGCACACGGTGACATAGAATACTCCAGTCTGTGGTGCCATCATTACTCTGCCATCGCAACAAAAGCGATTCCTACCCGGGAATAGTTCCCATTTTCGCGTGACGTGAGGCATTTTGAGTGAAACTCGTCTCACATACTGCTATATACGAACGCATGGATCCCGGCAACAGGCTGCTGGAGATTAATCACAAACGTGTGATTGTGTCCTTGAGCCATGTTCCCACTCGAGAATTCGAACAGGCACATTTCATCTCGTCCGCATTGTCTGATGAAAATGTGGAAGCTGCATGTGCCGATGGCATCCATGTATTAATCATCAACTCGTCGTAACTGTGATCGCCTGAAGCTCGTGCCACCTGCGATCGAATCGCCCAACACAACTTAACCTTTCCTGAGATTAGTTATTTTTTTCAAGTCGACGGTAACCTGGCGGAGAAATTAGCACTACAAGACGAGTTCCATTCTCTGCAAGATCTTCGTGAATCTCTAGCTATCCATGTAACGTCAATATCATCGTCATCATCGTCATCGTCATCGTCATCGTCGTCGTCCTCGTCGTTGTCGTCGTTGTCGTCGTTGTCGTCGTCGTCGTCGTCGTTGCAGTCGTTCGTCTCGATGATGACCGCCAACAAAACAAAGGGTCGCGGTGAAAGGGTTGCGGTCGCGTCGAAGGCAGTCAAAGGAATTGGGTCAGCGAGGCCACTCCAGGCCACTTACGGGGCCTCGTACGCGAAACACTGTCGGCACGCTACGGTTCCCTGTATTCTCGAGGACTGTCGCGACCACCCTCAAAGCCTCAAATCATTAACGTCCTCGTCGGCATCGTTGCGATCGCGCGATGAGCGTCCAGCCGTCAACGACAACGCGCATTATTTACACGGTCAAGTACACCACACGACCACAACTGCCTACAACGTGCTTTCCATAGTCCATTTACTCTCCGCTCGCGCGATTCAGCATTCAGCGCGATTCTCGCGAAACGCGCGCAGCGACCCCGCGCGACCTCGCGCGAAAGCGCCACGTGACTCGGCGCCACGTGACCCGAGGACGACCCGAGCGATCGCGATTCAAACGTTCGGTTCGCCCTTTTCGCGCGGGTCGATCATCGATCATCGGAATTTCTGCCGAGGAGAAGTCGTTCCTTCCGTTGCGCCGGTTAGCGCGACGCCTCGAGGATCCCCGTTGATCCCCGTCAAGCGGGAATTAAAAACTTGCGCGACGCAGAGAAGCGAATCCCCATCCCAGCGATCCGACCCACAGGGATCTTTGACGCGAAACGACGCGGACGCGGGCGTGATCTAACCGTCGCTTCTCCGCGGCAATGACAGGTAAATAAAGACGAAAAAAAAAGAAAAAATACAAAAAGAAGGTGCTCGTCGATCGTTGCGCACGAGATTGATTATTTAACGGTAAGAGAGGGTGGCGAGCGCGCGCGACTTATTATCGCCCTCGTTGCAAAATGGGTCGTCGTCGTCGTCGACGCAATGCGGCACGTCGCCGCACGCGCGCGCGCATGCCATACATAACGTACGTATACACGGTGCATTGCGTGTGTGTGAGTGACCAAGGAAATCCTGAAAATATATCGAACAATCCCGCCATCTTCGCGCACGCGGGTGACGTTCTCGATTGTGAAATTTTCGCGAAGCGAACGCGACAAAGCCCGCGAGGTGATCCATATAGATCCGTGATGACAATGTGCTGCACCGATGACACGGAAAATATGTAGAGATTTCGTCACATATATATAAACGTATGTCAAGAGGTATTACTACACGTCTGTGCTATCTACTCACTACCGTACATCGATATAAAACACCTCTTATATGGCATTAGCTCCATAATGGATGCTGGGATCTATATAGCTTTTTGTACCAGATATATGCATCGCGTTGGACGACGCTACAAAAACGCGCGTCTTTCGATTACACAAGCACGTTAAAATCAACATTGCGTGTAATACATATCTCGCAGTTTAATTTTTATTTTTTACAATTTACATCGAGGTCGTAAAAGTATATATCTATTATAATTTAAAAAGGCCATGAGATTACATAAATCGCTGAAAATCTCAAACACCGAGAGCTTTATTCAAGTTTACGTCTCTAGAACCATTTATATCGCGAAGAGAGCCAGTCCCTACGGGGAGGAGTAGAGGAGGATCCGGACGGGGTAGATCATCGAACGGCAGGTAATCGATAGCCTGCAACAAATCAGAATGACGTATACACATTCGGAATATATTACACATATGCGTCTCTAAGAAATGAAAAAAAGCTCTCGCGTGTGAAAACTACGCAGAATAATCAACAGGCTAATCATATGAAGAAGAGTCGGCGGATATGATGATCGCGCGTCGCGTTAACGAGCCTCCCTCTTGAGTCGTATCTACGATCGAAGGTACAGCCGAAACGGCTGCGGCGGCAGTGGCGATGGCAGCGATGGCGATGGCGATGGCGAGGGTCGTCTCGACAAGGGGATAGGGGTCGTCGATGTGTGGGGTGAGAGGAAGGTGCGGTAGGAAGGGCGGATAGAGCAGAGGGAGCGTGAGGGAGAGACGGAAGGGAGATCGTCGGGAGGGTGTATGAATCGTTGTTGTGGAGCGAACGGGCGGATGGACGGACGGACGCAAACGCGGACGAAATCAGCTCGGGCGATCGATACGATAAATGGATGCGTGCGATTGGTAGCCGGGAAAATCGATGACGAACACAGGGGGGCATACCCTACCTCTACCTCTACCTCTACCCTCTACCCTCTACCTCTCTAGCCCACCGCGGC